TTTTGCCTGCCCCAACATAGCTTGAAGCTCTCCCTGTAATTTGTGACTGCCCGCTCCCGAGTCAAGGTATAGAATTGCTCGTGTAGACCTCCTTCCTGAATGGCTAGAAAATATTCCGACAATCAATCCTTAAACTCTTCCCACAAATGGATCAGGTACCTCACCTCAATCCACTTAAATCATGTTAGGGCCTTGATACTGGAGTACCCAAACCACGATGCAAGAAGTCAATTTTTATTACTGAATTGAGCGAATATACAGTGAAAACTCAAAAGAAAGGTAGATAACTACACAAAGCAACAATGCAGAAAGGATTGTAAAAAACAACACAACAACGAAGAAAGAATCTTAACGAAGAGGAAACCTGATGTAGAGATGTAGGGTTGGTGGCCGCCGTTGAAAGGGAAGGATGGATGGGAGGCTTGCTGGAGGTAGGTGAGGACTTGTTTGCCTGCTGGAGGCCGGGAGGAGGACAACGACCTACTGAAAGGTGGGCAATAACCTATTGAAGGAATGGCAGTAGAGGGCTATGACATCTAGGATGTAGGTAAGAGGTTGGTCGACGGCTTGTAGGGTACAACGTGTAGATCTGGCGTATGGTGACAGGCTGGAAGGCTGCCTGCGGTTGTGTGTAAGTGTTAGAAACGGTGGCGACCTATCGTAGGAGAGGGGAAGCAGGCTGACAACAGCAGGAAGGGTGGAAGGACAAATAAATATCTTGACATGGTCGAGCTACAGTCATATCACTACCCGAACCCGTGAAGACGATCGCCACCTCGGACGAGGGACAACCAGAGAACTTCCTCGACATCAGATACGGCTCACGAAAGAGAAAACACCAAGGCTAAACCTGAATTCAGATGTAAAATAAAGACCACTAACTCTAAGCATATTTTTCCCTATTTATAAAGAGTTTAGATTTATTTTAGGTAATGAAAATAAGAAAAGAGAATAAAAGTTTTTTGCAGATTTTAGTAGAGTTATTAAAATAAGAAAATATTTAAAATAAAAAGTGAGAACAAAATATTATCAGCTTTACAAATTTTAGGAAATTATTTAAATCAGAAAGTGCTCGAAAGGAAAGATAGGAAAGAGAGAGGATAGGGAGGGAATGGAAAGGGAGAGGGGGGGGGGGGGGGGGATCGCCCAGTCGTGGGGGGGGGGTGGGTCCCGTCCTGAGGGTTGGCTGGTCCAACAAGGCTGGAGTGAACCTTGGTCGGTCTTCTGACTGTATTGTCTCCCAAAGTATTGTAAGCGTACCTCTGTCTTAGTCCAGTCTTCTGGAACTGAAATTTCTCTCCTGGTGATAGAGAATCGATTGTCACTAAAATTGGTCCCGATACTTTACTGATAAGGGCTCCTGTGTCTTCAGGCTCTATCGAAGGCAGTCGAATGAAGTGTTTGTCATTCTTGGTGATGGAATACATGTTTCTATATCCATTATACTGAATCTTCCTGTTAAATTGCCACGGTCTTCCTAGCAGATGGTGGCAGACATCCATGAGAACCGCATCAAACCATACTTGGTCTGTTGAAAACTCTACTAAGCATTGCCGGTCGATGCTGACTCTGTTTTCCTTCTTCAGCTACGCCAGTGAATATGGATGGGAATGCCTCTGAGTCGTGAGTCCCAGTTTCTCTACTATATGACTAGATGCCACGTTCTTGCTGCTACCCCCATCGATGATAAGACTGCATACCTTTTCGTTCATTGTGCAACGGGTGTAGAAATGTTGTGTATAAGTCACTACGGATCCCTCGTGTCCTTGGTTAGTAGAATTTGTTGAATCACAAGTGCTCCCTCATTTGGTGGAAGCTGATGCAGCTCACACTGTTTCTCAACTTCTTGGTCCTCGCTTACCTTTTTCACAACGCCCTGTTGGTTAAAAGATACAACTTTACACGTTGGGCAGCTGGAGGCTATGTGCCTAAATTTGTGGCATCTGAAGCATTTTCTGGTAGGCACTGTAGTCAGCTTCTTCTCACTGGTGGTGGCTTTATCTGTATTTGAACGAATTTTCTCAACTCCCTGCGACGTGCTCCTACTGGTGTTTCCAACATTGGGTGGCTGCCTGATTGATGGTTGTTGTCGGCTCTGCTTATCCTGTCTTTCTACTTTCAATGTCAGTGTCTGGACATCTCTCAGCGTCCTGTACGGTTGTAGCTGCACTACATTACTAAAACTAGGTTTCAAGCCCCCAAGATATCTGGTTGTTGTGTTCTCCTCCGGATGTGTCAGATCACACTTAAAATGTATGCGTTCGAACTGAGTTATGAACTCTACTGAAAGGTCTCTCCTTCACAAATTGTGGAGTTTCAAAAATATGTCATGAAGGTATTGAGGGAGAAGAAATTTCTTTTGCATGGTTTTCTTTATCTTCTCCCACTTGGTAATCTTTCCACTGCCTTCTCGTATCCTTTGTCGCTGTATGTTGTCCCACTAAAGGGAGACACTTTTCTTTAATTTGATAGCAACAAATTTGACCCGCCTCTTTTCGGGCACCTCTTTGTATTGGAAGATTCGCTCAACTATCTTTAGCCATTCAATAAATTTGTCCGGATCCATGTCCCCCTCAAACCCAGGCAAATCTACCTTGTATCTGTCGTCTTGGTGCCTGTCGGTCAACTCTTCGATTGATTAGATTTATTTGAAAAATAGGATATATTCTTGTGGGAGGGATGCAGGTATCTCTCTCTAGGCATTCTCTGATACTGGATTATGAAATGCTGTGGAGTGTTTTTTTCTTCGCTGAAATTATCCCCATGGAAGGGATTCCAATCCTCTTCTCTCTCCCCTTTGACTATCCTGGTTTCAGGCGAAAATAACTTTTTCTTATGTCTTCTCTTTAATCTTCGTAAGTTTTTCTTGGAGGCGACAGAGCTCTGGTCATCTCTCTTCCCAGATAGGTTCGGGAATATTTCTCATTGGCAGCATGCTTGACGGTTTTGAGATCTATGAAATGACAAAAAAAGTGGAAAAAATAATGAAGAGAAAAAATAAACAACAACAACAACAAAGCCTTAATCCCACTACGTGGGGTCGGCTATATGAATCCTTCCTTTTTTTCCAAAGAGAAAAAATAAACGAAAGCAAAAAAAAAATGTGGTGGATTGGGTAAGGGCAGATGCTAGAAACTCTAAGATGTGACTAAGGTTGGACTAGATCTGATACCAAATGATACTAAAGGTACCCAAGTCATCATGCAGTACGCCAAATTTTATTATTGCATTAAACGATGATACAATGAAGACTCAAAAGAAAGGAAAATAACCACACAAAACAATAGTGCAGAAGGGATTGTAAACAAATGACACAACAAATACGAACAATCTTGATGAAGAGGAACCCCAAAGTGGAGCTGTAGGCCTAGCGGTTGCTGTTAAAGGGGAAGGACAGAGGGGAGGCCTGCTGGAAGCAGGGGAGAGACTGGTTGGCCTGGTGGAGGCCGGGAGGAAGCTTGCAGCCTGCCGGGAGAGGGTGGCAATTTGCTGAGGGAAGGGCAATAGAGGGCTGCGGCCTGCTGGATGCAGGGAAGAGACTGGATGGCAACGTACAAGGTGCAGGGAGGGGATCCACCGTATGGTGGCAGGTTGGAAGGCTGCTTGCGGTTATGGCAAAGCGGTAGAAACGGTGACGACCTACTCTAGGAGGGGAAGTGGGCTGACGACAACAGAAATGGTGGAAGGACAAATAAATATCTCGGCAAGACAATGAACAACCGGAGCACTTGTTCGACGCCAGATATGACTCACGAAAGGAAAACACCAAGGCTAAACCTGAATTCAGCTGCAAAGCACTAACTGTAACCACATCATCCTCTATTTATAAAGAGGCTAGATTTATTTTTTGCAATGAAAATAAGAAAGGAAAATAAAATAAAATCAGGTTTTCAGATTTTAGGAAAATATTTAAAAAAAGAAAGAAGAGTAAAATATAATAAGGATTTCAGATTTTATGAAATGATTTAAAATAGGAAAGTGCTAAGAATGAAAGATTGGAAAGGGAGAAAATGGGAGGAAAGGGAGGGGGAAAGGAAAGGGTGGGGCAGGGCGGCACCCCCCACCCCCCCACCCTACATCATTAGCGGCTGTGTGGGCCTTACCCGAACGTTGAAATTTTCCTCAACTTGTCTGAGGGCTCTCCTTACGTCGACCCCTTCAGTTTGCAAGAGCAGACGAACTGTCGGCTCTATCGTATGTAGGAGCAGGCGTATTAGAAGGCACGACGAGATCACGACCAACAAATACCTCAGAAACTCTCATTTTTTACTCCTTTTGCCCCGCTTCTACTTGAAACCATTGATGATGGTAACACTCATTTTCCTCCCACTTCCTCTAACTCACTGCCTTCATGGGCTTCAATTTTTCTAATTCCTAACGGAGGTAAGATGAAATTTAGGAAACTATAGGATTTAGAGATGGCATTTTTGCTGATTGGCAGGAGGAGAAAATGATTTTAAGATACTGCAAGATTTGAAGTTATCTTTTTACTGATTAGCGGAAGGGGGAGAAGTGTGAAAGTTTTAGATTTCTTTGTACACCACGATCCCGTCGACTAGAGGAGCAGCAGGGCTTGGCTGAAAGAGAAAGATAGGACTTTTGGATGTTTGTCCGGTGCGATCACATTGCCGGCTGTCCACTTTCCATTCCGGTGAGATCGTTTAACTCTATTAATGGGGCACAGTGGATGTAAATATTAAAATTTGGGTGTGAGATATGTACTATTAACTGTTTTAAGCACTCTGTATGTAAATACCCCTTAAGTCTATATTTTAATATAAAATCGCATTTAAAACATGCAAGAGTATAGAGTTCTAAAATTTAATTTTTTATATTAAATTGGTGAAAATATTTTTAATGCGTCATATTGATTATTTAAATAATAGTAATTTAATTAGAATATTTATTGCATTATTTGGTTCAATTTTTAGTTCAATTGTGAACCTCTTCTACTTAAGTTCAATTTTCAGTTTGATTTTCAAATCATTGGTTAATTGAAAATCGGGAAGAGAACTTGAATATGCTACATTTTTCAGCAGAAGAACAACAATTTGAAAGTTTATTGAACTGTGTTTTTAGTGCAGGTGTCTAGCTGTGTAAGCATTTCATATGTTGGGAAATAATTTTCATACAGTGCGCCACATTTGTCAGTAAAAGGATTTAAACAATGAAGAATAGTGTGTAGTGTAAATGAATTAATTGCAATATATTTTCTACCTCATTGGGGTATTGCCCGCCGATTGAAATTTAACATTACGATAATAATGGTTGAAATTTGACATTCAGAGTAGAATCCTGGATGCATAGATTAAAGTTAAGCACAGTTACCTTAGCTTCGGACGCCAAAACTGCTCCAGTGCCGACCTTTACCGTTGAACTTTGAATGTTTTTTTGCAGTAAAATAGATTTCCCTTTCCCTTCAATGCAGTTATTGACCTTGACATTCACCTGTTCAACTGAATTATGAAGCTCAAGATCTTGTAACTTGTTTAGTTTTTTTCTTAGTTTGCATCTTGGAGAAACCGATTCTAATAATCTGCTTTTTTCAGGTTGCCTTGGGGATTTGTTCAAATCATAGGAGGGAATAGTAGCAGTGGCTTTTATCTTTAGGTCAGGCTTCATGTGCTGCATTCTTGGGCTCACAGTGTTAATTACCGGCCTTTCATTTGATTCTTTCAATAATGGGTATGGCCCTCTACATTTTATCTTTTTTTCTGTTAATTTTTTGTCTGCTTTAGTTTGTTTCTTCCAAAAGTCCTTCTTTCTGTTATTTCTTGAGTCGCCTGTTCTAATCGTTCCAAGACCTGGATGCCTTTCAAGCTTTATGACTTTGGAGAAAGTAGCATCTAGCTTTCTAGCTGGTTCCATGATCACAATTGGGCACTTCAAATCTCTTATGCTTAATTCGTTTGTTCTGTAGTTTGGTGGAGTGAACTGTATGCTCGGTGAATTGACTGAACTTAGTTTCATACTGCCAATATTTTTTGTTGCTGATATTACCCGTTTGATATCCTGGAGTTCCTTACAGGAGTGTTGGCATGGAAGCTTTTGTATTCTCTTCTCGGCCTTTTTGAAAACTGATTCAATTTTCTGATTCATATATGCTTCTACATTTTCTATCAGTATCTGTGGAGTTTCTTCATTTGAAAATTTGGAAAGTAAATCCAAGTGTGGATTGTTTCTCCTCGGAGGCTTGGCAATGTTTCTTGGTGACCGCAAGGTCTTCTCATGAGCTGCAACCTGGTTCTGCTTATTGTAGGGATCATAGCTTCGGATACTATTTTGTGCAGCTGAATTTAGAGGTTCCAAACCCATAATCTTTGCAACAATGCTGGAATTTTTTTCATTATTTTCCAGATCCTGAAGTTGATTCAAGGTTGCAGGTGCTCTCTTCTCGGCGTCAGTATCCGATTCTTTTACAGCAGAGTTGATTTTAGGGCTTAAATTACACCTTAGCGAACATTCCCTGCTGTCCAATGAAAGCCTTGAGAGTCCATTATGTTTATTATCATATTCCTTCATGTCAATGAGTATCCGTGACATTTCTGTTCCGTCATAAGAGAATCGAGGCGATCGACCTTCGGAAAATCTCTCAGGACAGACTTTAAATTTGAGCATTTTGCTGAATGATTCATTAAGATCCCTATCTTTAGATTGTTCCATTGGTCTAGGGGAGTGAATTGAATTGAACACTTTGTTCCTTTTATTGTCCTCCTTACGTCGACCCCTT